TCTCTCTCTCCTCTCTCTCTCCTCTCTCTCTCTCTCTCTCTCTCTCACACACACACACACACACAAACACGTACACAGACCACCTAGTTAAAAGGCCCAGATCCCTGACTACATAGGAGAGAGATACTCACACACTTCCTTTCAACTATCAAACCTTTGAAACTCAAGAATTAAAATTCCCCCAGGAATCTCATCCTGGAGGAAGGCAAAGAATGAAGTTCTGGCACCAGCCAGAGGAGGAACCTGCCTTTCAGGAAGAGGTTTCAAGGGTTCTGACAATTTATCAGACCACTTTGGAGAGCAGACCTGAGCCTGGGCAATGGTGAGTCAATGGTGGTGTCATGCTTGACCAGGACTGCTTCGCTATGCACGCCACCTGCCCTCTAGTGAACCCTAAATCTCGTCAGTACTGCAACATGGCCTTGGGGGGTCACTGGGTCTTCCCCATGTGTCCACATTGAATAAATCCCCTTTCTGTGTTTTTCACTGTAACTTGTCAATTATTGTGTTGGGGACGGGTGATTGAGCCTACCTTGTTGGGGCTACCAAGGCCCAGGCTTTGACCCCAACAATTCTGGTAACAAATTAGTTCAATTCCCTAGTTTTTTTGTTAAAAGCACTCTTATGAACCCAAAATCTCACAGGAAGTCCCTCCTGGCTACATCTTGCCTGCTCCACAGAGCCCTCTAGGGCAAGCGCTCCCTTGCTGCCCAAGTGAATGAATTTATTTCTTTGGACTCTATACGGGAATAGCTCCGGTTACCTTTGGCTAGTGTGCTTTAGTGACACAAAAGCATAACTCTCACCTCAAAGGGAATAAGATAGTTTATTCTGGAGCCGAATATGAGTGACCATGGCCCCGGACGACAGATTGAGGTTATCCCGAATTTTATGTTCAAAAGCGGTAGCAGTTTCATGACATTTTTATAGTAACAGAACAAAGAAAAGTTATAAATCAAGACACTTTTCAAATACATTGGTGTAAACTCTAAGTAGGCGGATATAGCAGAGGAGAAATCTCAGCTCGAGGCCTCTGATGCTGTCTGATGATACTCAGTCTTTTGTTTGGTGAAAGCTGGTGGTCTGCTAAGTTAATACATTCCAAAAGGCTTTTATCTGGATGTTAAGTCAGAAACAAAGTTGGGCAAGGAGTGGCTACTTAGGGGGCTAAAGATAGTCTAAGATAAACGGCAATTGGGCTTTGAACCTGCAACATTCCAAACTTTCCACAATCACTGAAGTTCTAATCAGTTGATTAGCCTTTGTAGAATGTTCAGTTTCAATATGCATTATTTTCTGGGAACTTTTTGTTCACAGACTTAATACCTATCTTTCATGAAATCTCCATAATCCAGCTAGAGAGAGGTTTGCAAGCCACCTCCCACCTTCAATGACTCGCCTTACTCCCCCTAGGTGGCCTCCACACCGTAGATTCAAGCACACAGCCAACCAACCAGGGATCAGAAACATTTAAAAAACTCAGATGTAATGCCACATACCTATAATCCCAGCAGCTCATGGGGCTGAGGCAGGAGGATTAAGAGTTTGAGGACATAGCTAAAACTTGTTTAAAAAACACTGACCAGGGGCTCTGATTCACTTTGGAGAACCCTCCATGTGGTGTCAGTGTCTGAACTCTTCCTGAGCCCCTCCATGTGGTTGACCCTCTGTCTATCCATGCATTAATAATTCTTTTAATAAACTCCAGTCCC